AAGAAAAGGCAAACAAAAATCTATTCTTTTACCCATTTGATAGTAATAGTAGCTTTATTCAATCCTGTTTGTGCACATCTAAATTGCAATTAGTATCCCGTATCTTTCATCGGTATTCAATAGTTAGAGTTCGCCACTAGCTTTGTTTCTACCATATCCAAGTTACCTTAATCCCAAAGTATTTGGATTGAGATTTTCAGAAGCCACGAATTCAGTTTAGTTCAAAGCTTCTCATCACTTCCAAACACCCAGAAGTCACTGTAGTAATGCTATTATAAAGTGTTACCATAATCACTAAGGTTTAGTTCGAAACGAAAAAGATAAACAGGAAGAAATAATATAATGAACATTACCACCATAATGAGGTCATATGAGGAGAGTGTAAAGTCATAATTGATAATAAAAGGACGATGAATAGAAAACGATTTTCTGTAAATACGTGATAATTAAACCACTTAGTCAATAAGCACAGCTTTAAGTTTTTCAGCTAGGTGAATTAATTACGGTATGTAAAACTAGTCCAAAATATTTTTTCTTGTTATTTCTTCATATGATGAACAAGGATAAAAATATTTCAATAATTCCAGTGCTTCTGTCTGGATTTCTCAGTATTTTACACTTTAATAAGTAACCTTTTTACAATACTACGTAAATACATACTTAGCATTCATCAGGCTTCTTTTTAAAAAAAATGAAGTGATTAGTCGCAATATTTTCATAGTTGAAAACTTGACCCAGACGTTTGAACAAAACAGCGTAGCGGAATAGATGTTTGCTTCACAGTTATGGGAATCCAACGCGCCAGTTTGGATTCTTTGACTCCACCTCCTCAAACACTTAACAATCCCACTGAATTGTTTCATCATTCTAGTCCCGTCAAAACTAATACTTGTCTGAATCTCTAACTAAATAGATTGTCTAAACTGAAATTTCTGAAATCACTCGATACCCTACTTGGTTATTCATTATTCCTGGGCTTGTGATGTTTTCAGCAATCTGTTACTGTTAATGGTTAGTTCCAGTGAAGTTTTTGTCCAGTTCTAGAAATAATTTCATTTAATAAATTCCTACAGTCTTTCAATCACCTACATCTGGATTAAACTTAAAGTTATGTTTCTACTGGTAATTTGCGTTGTTCAATGTAATACCTAACAAGGTATACGGAGTGAAGTAGTTGAGCGTGTCGACCGCCTCACTTATCTTGGAAGTCTAACCAGCCCTTGTGGTTTAGTGTGTGACGAAATCTCAGCACGGATACAGAAGGCTCGACTAGCTTTTGTAAACCTGCACCGTTTATGGCGGACGCGAAATATCCTTCTACCAACCAAAAGACGGGTTCACTGCGCAGCAGTTCGTTCCGTCCTTCTTTATGGTAGTGAAACATGACCAGTAAGAGTAGAGGATATTCGTAGGCTACTAGTATTCGATCATAGGTGTCTTCGAAACATTGCTCGTATATTCTGGGACCGTCGAGTAAGTAACGCAGTAGTTAGGAAACGGGTACTAGATAAGGATGGCAAATCAATTGATGAAGTAGTGAAACTTCATCAGTTGAGATGACTGGGACACGTTACGTATGCCCAACCACCGACTGCCTCGACGTGCCATGTAGTGTCGGAGTGGATTGGAATAAAAGAAGGGGTGGACAGATCAAAACATGCCACAAATCCATGAAGTCATTGACAAGTGGACTGAGTCATGTTGGTAGGTGTAGACTATCTGGTTGGGGACCGTGTGATGATAGCAACCAATAGTTCGAGACTTTGAATGACATGGCTGAAAATCGTTTGCGATGGCGCAGGTGCAGGTCCTCACTTTGTGTTCTCCCAAATTCTAATCTTTTGAATTCTTCGTGCACTTTGTTTTTTGCTTTCCAAATTTATTTAACCGTTTTATACTTGTTGAATAACATCTTTAAACCCTAATGTTTCCGATTACTGTTTATACCCTTACTACCTCTACCACTATGGGATTTGAATCGACAATGATATCTCTTGGCTAATGTGATATTTCAACTCGAACTGATGTACGTACGTACGTAGTTCAACGTTGTTGCTTTCTGAATACCTAACAAAATTTCTGATGATATTACAACCTTTAAAATCGTTTTCCTTACCCTCAATATTATGTATACAAATGTCTATTTGAAAGTAATTCATCAATCCCATTGAATTACTGTTTTCAGTTCTATTTACGTAATATTAATCTTTCAAACCATTGCAACAGTGAACGTTAGTTAGTTTCTTTTATTAAAAGTAACAACATTTACTGACAAAAATATCCTACCCAAATGTATAGTTTATTATCTAGAATAATTATATATCTGCATATTTTCTATTCAATTTGTTCGTTTCAACTATGAACATCGAATATGGATATGTAAAATTTCAGCCTTAAAACCACAGAATAGACCGAATTGATTTACAATGTTATAGATTTCTATTTTGACACAAATTTGATGTATTTGTTGTTTTATTTTAGTCTTCCTCATCACCAGCGTTTGTTGCCAACTTTGTCTTCTGATTAGCCTATTGTTCACTGTTTTTGCTTACACAAAAATTTATCATTTCAATTGGTCGGATTGTACCATCTCTTATTAACCATGACTCACCAAGTTTACTGAACTTACGAATTAGGATACACAATTTGCTGTTTCTAATCTGTTTGGATTGTTGTGCTTATGGAACAGCATTAGTTTGTAACTTGATGGTACAATCTATATTCCAATTAAAGCGACTAAATAATATCTGCTTAAACAACTCCCTATTCTGTGTATAGACGAGGAAATACATGCTATGATTAAAAAAAATTAATTATGAATTAGTGTGAATACATGGATTTAGACACAGCATAAATTACACTTGTGGCTACTAGATCTGAGTTTATTTAGCGAAAATGCTCAACAAGTATCCATTGCTTTCCAAACTAAAACTTTTCGTAAAATAGAGTTACTTTCAAGACTCATCGTCAATTTTGATCACCCCATTGAAATTTCTTTCCAAATGATCAGTTTTAGTCATCATGGCAGGACCTACTTTGAATACTTATCAATCAAAATTAGAAGCATAGGAAGTGAAGCAGTATCAATTGTCTTGGATAACGAAACATCAGGAATATAGTTTACAAGGCACAGATGAAATAGAAGAATAAAATACCTAGGAAGATACTTTATTTAGTATTGGAAATGAATGTGACTGGACTATTACCACCAATGTTATTAATGTAGTGATATTATATATATATATATATATATATATATATATAATCTGTTTTTATTTTAGCATTGATATTCACTCCAACAGGTATGACTGTTGCTCCACACTTGTCGCCGCAAACTACATTTAGTAATTTGGCCACCATTTTGTTACATTAAGTAGTGATAACTTAATGTCGCGATGGGCGGCATAATAGTAGGTTGAGAAAAGACAGGTCGACCATGACTCATCAGTAATATGAAATCCAGTGGCATTTTTTGTTATATACCAATGGGTAGAAAATTTGCATTTCTGACGTTTCGTGAGGTAATGTAAGCCATTTCCGATTAAATAAAGTGCCCGCATTAAGCCATGAAACGTCAGAAATACAATTTTTTTACTCATTGGGATATAACAAAAAATATATTTATTATTATCTTTTTACCTAATACTCAATTTATTTGAAACTATCAAGTCAAACCTTGGCAAGTAGTTATATGACTAAAGTTTCCTCAGCTGTGGTATTTTTCATCGATCTGGACCATACTGTGTTAGATAAGGATATATATAAATATATAGGAATTGTAAGGAAATTGTTTGCCTTCAATAATGACAAATGCCTAGTTCTTTGCAGATTTGATGCATTTTCTGTGATGATTTATTTATTCATGATCAGTCTGCCTCCTATTTTTGCAGTAATCATTCTCAGATCTACTGTACATCGATGTTTGTTTCTTTATTAACATTATGATAAGCGTTATCTCAGGGAATTTCTTATGCGTTAGTAACAGCTAAGAGATAGGGTGTTATGTGCACATTAAACTTATCGTCTGTAATATATATGAATATTTAAGCATGTTCATAATTCTATTTCATTCTTATCGTAAAGCCTCAGTGATTGGTTTCTGGACTAGAATATTGAGGGGAATATTATTATTTAGATGTTTTTTTAATACAGGAAGTAAACTATGATAAACCTTAGTTGTAAACTCAGAATAGGTTCTAATTACATAGACATGCATTTTGTCGATTGTGAACACCTTTATCCCGATAACATACATCCCTTTTGTGTGTTTCTATTTTTATAATAAAGAGAACTTATCCTCTTTTTTTCTCATAGATTATCCGTAACATCTTATAAATACTGGGTTGATATATTCTAAGCCAATTTTGTACAGATCCCATGATTCTTAATGTAGCATATTCAGCACATATATTTCAGCTACTTCCTGTTTATCTATGTGAAGTAAACTAAACTATTTGTCTATATTTGTAACATATGCAGCAAACCGTTTCGACAAATACCTGCTTCGATCTGGGCACCCGGGGAGTATTACAGCCCACACACATTAATCAAGTGATTTGTGTAGTGTATATGTATTCGGTGCCCCTTTGTATCAATATTTATGTGTTCAAATAAATAAATAAATAAATTTCGACAAATTTAATCTATTGAATATCTCATAATGAATTTCAGACTGGAAAAATATGTCAAGTTTAATATTCTATCATATTTATTTACTGCATGTATCATCAATGAAGTAATTCCAACTTATGATCATTGACATACTGATTAGATAAGACACGTGACTAAACCAATCAGTAAGACAGTACAACCAACTCGGTTAGAGCTTTTGTAATTTATCCTAGAAAAATATCTTCAAGTTCATTCATATATGTGCTTAAATATAATATTCAATATAAGATAAAATCTACATTAACATCTTCCAAATTTGCATTCAAGCAGTTCTAAAAAAAATCCAAATCATTTTTCATGTTTTTTTTTAATGTTCACTATATGGATAGATCCGGTCCGTGTCTTGTTTCTCGTCCAATTCTAATTGAAGTACATCAATCACTTAACGCTCTTTTACAGCTAGTAATCAATTCAGGTAAGATTTCCGTTAATAATTAAAATTATTATACTTTCTTTTAGCACTCAATCGTACTTTTAATCAATCTGCATCATCAACGTCATCCATCAATAGTGGATCGGCTATGAAATCAAGTCCTGCAGGGCCAACTCAATCGCATTTATTAACAACTAGAGTAAGTTATTATACTGATGGAGTTTTGTTTTCTAAGCTGGATGGTTTCGTTGTGGAACTTTCATCGTTCTTCTGAACTGTATATTTCATCGTTTCTTCTCGCTGTGTCAGTACTTTTTTTAGGATCCTTAATTGTTTATTCTCACTTTTTCTTCAAATAAATAAACAAATGTAGTACCAAATCATAAAAAAGTATTCTAGAAATTCCATCTGAATAAGTTTTTCTTGTTTAAACAAATGCGAAGATAAAAAGTGGTCTACATATGGTGTTTAATGTTACCATCAAGCTATTTTAATTAACCATAGAAAATCTGATACAATAGGACATCAGAAAATAAAATGCATTACTTTATGTAAATAAAGTATGCGGGATAAAATTTTTGAGGAAAAGAGAGTAGTATGTTTGATAAGGACAAGGCATATACTCACATTGAATGCACCGGAGTCCGTTTATTCTGTTTCCAAATATTTGAATGCAAACCGGTCAAAACCCACACGATCTGTAACTGAACGGGCGAATTCACATGATTGTTCAAAATATATTTATTATAATGTTAATGTTTAGTATTAACAATGTGCTTATTATTTGTTGTTATTTTTATATTAGGCGTCAAGTTCTACGGTTTCTGCAAATAATCTCCGATTTCCAACATCTGCTATTTCTGGCTTATCCACTTCTAATAAATTTGCTACAAATGTCGATACAAATACTGGTGTTTCACGTAATCTTGCTACTGGTATGTTGTTCGCCGCGTATCACACAACTTATGTTTTTATCATGAATTTCATTTAATGTTTGTTCTCTCCAAATGTGTTATTAATCATGGCTATTTTATACATTATGAAGCATATGCATATGTTTTAGCGATAATAATGAGTTTGTTACGATAGATTAATAGTGTTTCATTTCAATTCGCTCATATCTTTCTATAAGGATCTAAATAAACCGAAGGAGTACATGAAGATAGAGAGACAAAAGATGACAACTGTCGAGAAATGTGTTCGCGATTCGTTAGAGTTGAAAACAGAATCTATCACTACTATCAGTTGACCAGTCATAATCAATTTGGCGCTTAGCATAAATATGCGTTAGCTCAGATTTCCATACCAAACTACTATGACGAGGTTGAATTAACAAGTAGAATAACAAAAAAGTAATAATTATAAGTCAAACTAAGAATTGCTAGTGTGGTTCGAGAAGATGGAATAAAGATAAAGGTCTAGAAAGAAGATAAAGATCGAATTCATATGTGCCACTGTGGCTTATTCCGTGCCGTGTTAATTAACTTTTCGAATCACTGGTTGTAGTTGTCGCGAAAAATATATCCAAACAATACGTAGGCCAATAACCAATGACTTCATGTCCCAACATGCGTCATCACATATTGGTTTGGTCCCTCCCGCTACTATAGTAGTCGATTTTTCGTCAGTTATCTAGGAACTGTGTTGACTTTTGTTGGCGTGCTATACCGTTTTTTTGTTATACAGAACGCTGGATTGAATATCGTAGCTAATTAATTATATTTAAATATTAACATGGCATTTAGGGTGGAAACTTATTACTGAAAGTGTTTTCTAGACACTTCGGTTTAACCTGAGTCTATCGACCAGTATTTCTGTTTTCGGCTGTAATCAGTAAATTTACTCCTAATCATATCTATAATGTCTAGCTATTATTCAATTATTTCTATTTAAATTTATCTGAATACATGTGTTGTAGCTATATGGCTATGTAGAGCTGGTCTCATATGAGACTGGAGGTTCGCCATTGGTATTGTGGATGGTTCAGCACTGCTTTGGCAAGTTTTGCTGACCGTTCATGCACAAAATTGGTTTGCTGGTTAACCGATTTCATTCATACTGGTGGTTACTTTTCAGTGTTCTCAAGGGCCATTGTCATTGGGACATTGTAAGGCATGTCGCCATTGCTAACATTAATGAGTTTGGCTGTCGTGTAAGCGGAATAGGTCAACTTTGGCCTGCTTGTGCTGTGCATAATTGATTCACGCGGTCATTGATCGGAATAACTATACATATGATGTCAATGTGTATATGAATTGTGCGAATGGTCCACCAGGGTGTTTGGTACCTGTGCGCCACAAGATTGAGCTGCACTATTCAGATTCTAACGTTAAAGCCTATACGGTTTCTGTTTCTCCTGTGAAGCGGGATTGAGCTGTACTGTTTGGGTTGTCACGTGAAAGTCTGCTTGGTGTCTGCTTCTTCTGAAAACCGATGTAAAATTATCCTGGTCCACAAGGGTATATTATATGACTATAACATGTGCAGCTCAGATGCTACAACTTAAGTTTACCATCGCTCCCTGAGTTATCAGTTCTTTATTATTATTTCCATTTTTAGTTACTACATTGAATAACACCAAACTTAATTCCGTCGTCATGCAACATGTTACAAATCCCTTAACTTTACAGGTTAGTTCATTGTATTCAAATGTGTATGTATACATATCTATGTTAAAATTCTAATGTTGCCATATTTCTTGTATGAACATATTGCCGTAATTGTCATCTGGTGAGATAATTTCCCTCTCTGCTGCACTTTTATCTTTTTTTAGCACAATCTCTACTTTTGCATTTCTTTCATCTGTGAATTGACTGCTACTGTGTACCACTACTCATAACTCATTTTTCCTAATCCTTTAATTCCATTAATGCAAATATATTTTGGATTAGTGATATTCTACTCAGTTTGATCTTTTTTGTCGTATATTCACTTGTTTTATATATATGAATCTAATGTCCATTTATCATAGTATATCATTCATTTGAACTCAGCAAATTTAATAACAAACTGATCCGAATCCTCTAAATTAAACAATATTCATTCTATTCATTTTGTTCTATGTTGTAGCTTGCAGCTCGACGTAAAGCACAAGCTTCTGGTATAGTCGGTCCATCTATGACTGTAGATACTCATATGCAACAAGCATTAAATAATAATTTCAATATTTCTATTCCAATGGAACATCCACCTATGGAATTGTCATTTGTCAATGAACCTATAAAAATTCAATTAAGCAAAGAAGCTGAAGCAGAGGTGAGTTATTCAATATTTTTTTTTACGAATTTCTATAATCTTTAAGTGTCACATTTCTGTTTTGTAAAAGCTGGTGATATTATTACCCTGGTTGCCTAAATAAGATTAGGTGATAATACACGATTGTGCAAACTACTGGTGATCAAACAGTTTGGACTGTACTGCTCAAGCATATCACATAGTTCTTATTTATTTATTTGAACACATAAATACTGGTACAAGAGGGCATCAGATGCATATTCACCACACAAATCAAATGAGATTTGTGTGAGGGCTGGGATGCTGCTCGGGTGCCCAACTCGTAGCAAATGGTTCTCTTAGGGGGCCATACTCGGAGCTTTCGACCTAAAGGTCTAATCTACAAGGCAGTAGAGCATCGTAAGGAGATGTGGTCCCATGGTAGCCGGTGACCAACGGTTGGTTCATACGCCATTTGTTCCCTCAGGATACTGGAGCCCATGTACACCATTTGTTTGGAATAAGGGCTTTCCAACTCCCTTGTTGGACTCACCGTGTCCACCAACCCGGGTTAAAGCGCCGGACATTCGCTCTTCGTCCTCTCAATTTCGTTAACAACACCCCCTCCATGAGAAGGTAGTGAGTAGGACTCTCCTGGCAGAGGCTATATACGCGTGGCCATGTGAGAGCATTTTGAGAGGGGGAACGGAATCTCTTCACTCTCGGTCGTACCAGGGCATTTGGGGGCCACATAGTTCTGATAAACTTTGTCTTCTCATTTCACTAACCAAATATATTTAGGGGAATAAATGTCTTAAATGAATGGTTAAGTAAGCTGTTATTACTAGGAGAAACAACTATCAAATTCTTTCTCATTTTTTGATGTTGTTAATATGATTATTAAGCCAGATAAAAACTCTGTGTTGGTAATCTATTTTCAAACGACTTTCGGTTGGTTAACCTCTTACATCTTTTTTTTTCTGTCTTTATTTCAATCAAATTTTATCATATGTTGTAATATGCAGTCAGTCAGTCAGTCAGTCAGCTACAACGTAGGACCAGGCACATATATGCATCGGTCCAGGTTGCCAAACCGCATCAGCACAACAAGATGAACACCGGATTCATAGCAGTGGTTATGTCAAATGTGGTAATATATAAGAGAGAGATTGCATATAGAGATATAGAACAAGAAGAAAAAATTGGTTTGTAGAAAGAAAGATATGAAATGATTTTAATCTCTTAGTTTAAGGGAAGACATAGAGTGTATACACCGACGCCATTGTGATCAATTCTGAGCCATGTCATCTACAGTCTCCAAACATTGGTTACGACAGTCACGCAGACCCCAACGAAGTAGTCTGCATCTGCCAACATCGCTCAGACTAGAAGTTAGTGACTTCAAGCACTGATGCCACGTTTTGGTTTGGCCGCCCCTAACTTTCTTCCAACCATCTCCAATACCGGATAGCATTGCACGTCGTGGTAATCGGTATTCAGGCATACGTAACACGTGGCCCAACCATCTCAGTCGATGAAGATTCATAACCTCATCAACTGATTTACCATCATTTCCTAATACCCTGCGTCTAACCTCACTATTACTTACCCGGTGACCCCAGCAAAAGCCAGCAATATTTCTAAGGCATCTGTGGTCAAATACTAGTAGCCAACGAGTGTCTTCTCTTAATGGCCATGTTTCGCTGCAGTAAATTAAAACAGAACGGACTGCCGCGCAGTATACTCGTCCTTTTATTGATAGACGGATATCTCGCCTTCGCCATAGGTGACGTAAGTTGGCAAAAGCCAAACGAGCTTTTCGAATCCGTGTTGAGATTTCGTCAGACACCAACTCATTAGGGCTGATCAGACTTCCAAGGTAAGTGAAGTTGGTTGACTACTTCACTCCCTATCCTTGGTTCAGGTGTTGACGCAGACCAGTCCTGAAGCAACAACTTTCATGTTGTAATATGCTATTTCTTTAGTTCAAATAACTTGTTGTTGTTATAGAATTGGTAGGCTTAGTGTTTTCTTTTTGCTTGTGTGTGTGTGTGTTTTCTTTATCTCGTAAATGAATCACTAGATTTATACTAATTTAAGTGATTTCACATCCTCCATCTTGTATGATCAAGCAAGATGACAATAAAATTATGAATGTACTTAGATGTGTAATACACATACACTTTCTATGATGAATATAATATTCCGATACACTTGTAATTATCTTTAATTGTAAATAAATATATGGTCGATCAAATGACTCTGAAGATGTCTCATTGTGTATATTTATACATTTTGGAATATTGCTCTAACGTTGGTTACTTCAAAATTAATTGACGACTAATCAGTGCCACCTATGTCAATTCCTTAGTGCAGATTGAATTTCATCAATCAATCTGTAATGTAATCATTAGTCTAAGTAGCTTGACACCGCATGAATTATATTGTGCTGTCAGGTGATGGTTGAAATTCGCCGTCAGGAACCCTCAGTTCCCCCTAGATTACACCGCCATACTTTTCAAAGGCCAACAATCGTAGTGTTTCTTGACATCAGGGCTGCCTTCGATTCGTTGGACAGAACTGTTCTCTAGGATTGTCTATTGAAGAGGGGTGTGCCTGAGAAGTTTATTAACATCCTAAAAGCCCTGTATAAAAACACCAGACAGAGTGAGGGCATACAACCACCTCTCTCCATTGTTCCATTCGAGCTGTGGGGTTAGGCAGGGTTGCCCAATCTCACCATTCCTCTTCAACTTTGCCATCGATGACATTCTGGAAACAGCTCTGATGAATGTAAGTAATGGTGGTGTGGATCTGTTGCCTGGAGAAAGACTTCTCGACCTTGAGTATGCGGATGATATTGTCTTACTGTGCGATAATGCCCAAGGCATGCAATCCGCACTTAATCAGTTGACAATCAATGTCCTTAGGTATGGTATGTGCTTTGCACCTTCGAAGTGCAAAGTACTTCTACAAGACTGGCAGGATTCCAATCCTGTACTCACCCTGGATGGTGAGCAGATAGAAGTAGTCGAGAAGTTCGTGTATCTAGGTAGCTGCATAAGTGCTGGTGGGGGTGTGAATGATGAGATCAATGCACATATAGTGAAAGCCAGAGCGGCTTATGCCAATCTGGGCCATCTTTGGCGCCTTCGTGATGTTAGTCTGGCTGTAAAAGTTCGGATTTACAACGCGTCGATGAGAGCAGTTTTGCTGTATGCTTGGGAAACCTGGCCTCTCCGAGTTGAGGACGTTAGACGATTCTCTGTGTTCGATCATCGTTGTCTCCGAAAGATTGCTGACATCCAGTGGCAACACCATGTTAGTAATGTAGAGGTTCGGCATCGTGTGTTTGGGCTCAGAGACGATAATCTAATTGGTTTCACCATCTTGAAACATCGACTTCAGTGGCTTGGACATGTTCTACGAATGTCGTCGCAGAGAATTCCACGTCGTGCATTATTTGACGACTCTGGGACTGGTTGGAAGAAGCGGAGAGGTGGTCAGTGCATGAAATGGTGTCGTGGCATGAAAGAAAGCTGCAAAGGACTGGCTTGCGTTGGTCCTTCACGACTCCCTGGTTGGGGTCCGAGAGATAGTGCTACACAGTGGCTAGAGACGTTATCAGATATGGCTCAGAATAGAAGCCAGTGGCGATCCAGCTGTAACCTTCTTTTACTTTCTTTATAAAAAGTGGTTGTGTCTCTTTACCTGAAAGATTTCTTCTGATTGTACCTTGTCGTTCCGTCGTTACTACCACACTACCTTACTCCAATCTCTTCGTCATTGTTCTCTTTTTCTTTTGCGTCCCTTAGTTTTTTTTTCTTTCCTTCTACTTCTCTTCGAATTCTCATTGTTTTGTGTGGCGCATATATATTGGCGCTCTCTTGTACCAATATTTATGTGTTCAAATAAATAAATAAATAAACAGATGCACTTTGCTAACGAGTACCAAATTGCACAAAGCCTTGATCCAGGGTTTCCAGTCGACTACCTCCAACCAACACTTTACGTTATTTACTTCGTCTGTTAATTTATTCACATAGAACTTCCTTGAGTTATTATTTATAATACAGCTGTGGCAGCATAAAGCATTCATTGAACATTACATTTGACTACTTTACTAATCCAGTGCACTCGACTCTTAATCACTAAATTTCATTAGAATAGATGGCGTCGTAATAACACGACCTGTGAATAATTTTTGATGTTTCAGGCGTTACCTTCAATTCCGGAAATCCTTGGGATAAGGTCAAATGAAGACCAATATTTTCTAACCTCTTCCTTGCATTGTGAGAAGTCAGTATTCCTGGAAATACTGGTCCTGAGTGAAACATCCCACTGTCATTCCATTCCACACCGTCGACAGTATGAGTCCTGTTTTGGTTTCGGCATCCGGGCGGTATTCCAGCCCTCACACAAATGGAATAACTTGTGACGCATATCTTTTCGGTGCTTCCTTGCACCAACACTTATGTGTTTTGAATAAATACATAAACAATATGAACTTATCCTCAAGCCTTAGATTTTTTTGCTGCTACTTTTATTACTGTCAAACCGATCACTTTCGTATGTAACCTCAAGGAATGAGTTCCGACCAATATAGGTCAACTGGGTTACCATGGTTGGAGCTTGATTTAATAACAGTTCTTTTTGTATACCAATATGCACGTATATCCTTCACTTAATTATAAATCTCATTGAAACATGTTAATACGTTTTTAAGAGTATGTCATCTGTTGTTGTTGTTATCGTCATTACAGTTGTATTTCCTTATGATACATATAAATAATAATAATAATAATAACTATTTATTTTAAGGGTCGTCTAAATTAAAGTACATAAACACTTATATGTGAGCAAAAATTAAGATTCCTTGAAAAGAGTTCTAAAAATCTATGTGTTCATTAAAGAAATAATATGACAGAGGATATATTATTTTTTCCTTTTCTTTTCTCTCTGTCTCCTTTCCATTTCCTTTGATTTCTCTAATGTCATTCACATACATACGTATCTATCTTCTTCTTGTTGTTGTTCAGGCTAATACATTCTTTCAAAAACTACTGGAAGGTATTAATCCACCCGATGAAATGTTTAAAACTTTATACGATTTTGCAACTCAAGGTACACCTTCCCAACGTAAACTATTGGATGGAATTTTACGTATGTTAGCTGATGAAGTTTCACGTCATTTACAAGATTATCCTGAAACTATGCTACCTTTATTCGCTGACTTGTATGGCAGTGTTCTTGCTGCTAGTACACATCTGTAAGTTTGACTGTCAAATTATCAATTAATAATAATAATAATAATAATAATAATAATAATAATAATAATAATAATAATAATAATAATAATAATAATAATAATAATAATTGTAAGAGAGAAAAAAAGCACCTTGATTGTACAATAGAGTCTTAGTAATAACTCAATTCTGTTTGTTTACAGCTTTTCTATGAGAGCTCTTTCAATGCTATGGCGTTCTGTGTTAGCTCGATTGTTCACTCTACCACCAGAGACCCATATGGATTCAACGTTGTTTCGTGCTATGATTCATATTTTAATGAAGGCTAAAAATACGTAAGTGTTGTTTTATTGATCTTAAGCTTCCATATTTACTAACTATATATATTACCCTACACTTTAACTTTTCTCTATTTGCTTCATCTTCCAGGTTTGTACACTTTTCTAATCTTCCAAATTGTTTAGCCAGTTGTCCAGTCTTCAAAGCGTTTCCGCATGATCTTCAAGGAGTAAGAATTATGTACCTTATGTTTATTCTTTCCTCATGAAATGTTTATCTTATTTGCATATGAAACAATGTTTTTCTTTGAATACCACATATAAATAGTCAGTCAGCTACAACATAGGACCAGGCACATATGTGCACCGGTGCAAGTTGCCATACCTCATTAGCACATATGAATAAGAAGAATGAAATTAGATTTAACTAAGTTGATAACTTCAGTTTCATGCTTGTTATTATTTGTCTTTTCACTTTAAACTTTGTAAATCTATATCAATCATTGAAAAGGATCCAGTAATTTAATTTAGATGATTAGCATCTATTTTTCGTATTAGAAATTGAAAATATCCTTCTGTGAAAATGAATACAAACCAAAAGTGGTGTAAATTTTGTCAAATTAAATCAGTGGAATTCCTTTCATATAAACAGATATTCAAAAGAAGTAAACATTTTAGAATTAAATCATTCGTACTGAATGTTTGGATTATTTCGTTAATACTAAGAATTGAATGACGATCAATCTTTGCTGGATCATATTCATCATGTTAGTCTAGGGTTATCTAGGCTTAAGGAATAATATTTTAGGTGTTTAATGCGAAGATTATTGAGTTAACATCAAACATTGGATTGTGAAAGTACGTCTAACAAATGATGAAGACAATGGTGGATGTGTCGCTCAATTTCGTGGATTAGTTGAAGTTAGACATTAACACCGTTGGATGCCGGCTCAGTGGTCTAGTGGTTAAGTGCTCGCACGCGAGACCAGTAGATCCTGGGTTCGAATCTCTCGGGGGGGGGCGAGGTGGTGGATGCCCACTGCTGAGGAGTCCTGCAATCGGATAAAACGGCTGTCCAGTGCTTCTAGGTTTTCCATGATGGTCTAGCTTCAACTGACTCATGATCTTAACCATTGAAATTACTATAATATCCACAAAACTCATCTGATATTAACTAATCATTTTCAGAATAGGACGAATTGTACACTCTCAAATTCACTATAATCACTTTTTATGTATTCTAAATAATCATTTATTATATTCAACAAATGTTATCATCCGATTACATATTTTATCTGTTTATTTTATATTTTTCAATATAGTATATTTTAAACTCTGAATTAGCCATCAAGAATTATACAATATCACAACAAACTACCTCATCTTTGTCCAAGGTAATTTTTCCTATCATGATTATCAATTTTAAATTATAATTTGATTGAATATTCGTTTCAAACTGTTTGTCTTTATTGTTTTTGTAATAGAATATCATGTATCCTCATAAACCCACTTACTGCTATCTGTTTTCCTTTCTTTTATGATTCATACGAATATACAGAATTTGACAACTACTGGAAGTAGTGGCAGTAGTTCTTCAAACCAATTGATTGCTTCACATTATCAACTCACTGATTCGTTAACACCATCGACTAGTTTAAATTTAACCATGCCTACTTCCAACACTGTTGGCAACATTGGTGTTCCTGCTGATACATCATCATGTATCAAGGCACCTGATGCACCAGAGGAAAGCATTTCCGATCGTGTCTACTTTCTATTTAATAATGTATCCAAGGTGAATGCTAAAGAAAAGTCAAATGAATTAGCCACATTGTTGTCAGAAGATCGACTTATACCATGGTTTGCTTTTTATCTTGTCAGTAAACGAATACCAGTTGAACAAACATTTCATGATCTCTTTGCTTTGGTACTTGATCATATTCAAGAAAAAGTGCCAAATGTTAGACCCAAAGTTATGTATGAACTTATAAGGCATATCAAGGTGAGTATCCGTGTTTGATCATGGTTGGTTTCGTTGTGAGATTATATATATATATAGTTCATATAACATATTAGTCACACGTAATTCAAATATGAATTCTTAATTTGTTCTTATGTAACTATATAACTAATATTGTGCATATTAATTATTCTTATTGCACAAATCTGTGGACACGATTAGTTCAATATAGAAAATATGATTGAAAATCAATTTCTCTTTTTAATCATTAAACAATACTGAATTATTGTAAATATAATCCCTAGTACACCCTGTTTACTTTATATAATAAATGATACTTGAACTCCATTCTCTCAGTCTTTGTTCAGGTGATTGATAGTATCACTACCCATCTTACTTTTCTGTCAAATCATAATGTTTATTAGTGTTTCTTCAGACAATGATCTTTCGTAGTCAAAATGTATACGACAGTTCATTGTAACTCGTTACACACTTGGCAATCAATGAACCTAATGTTACTGAGTCACTTTTACTGAATCACTCTAATAGATACTATTGATTTCAACGAAGAAGTAGTAGTAGACTCTACGAGCGACCTACATACCTAGCTAGCTTTACAAGGGCAGATAGATTGGCGTATCTGCATTTAGTTGGTTAGTCTTGGAAACTTGTCTTTCACATAGGAGAGCGACTATAGTAGTTAAGACGCAGAATTACTGCGTTAAATTGTATCTTTCAAGACTTATCTAGTGATATCGGTTAGGGTTAACAAAAGTGAATATAAATGAAATACGTCATCGATTCTGCAATATGTGAATACAGTCTACTCAATATAATGTTGATTACAATATTTAGTTCTCAAATTAAGACCGTATATCTGCATACTTGATACACCTAAGCTTAATTAGGTTTCCCTTAATCAGTAATATCTTGCGCTTATTGTTTCTTTTCTAATTCTTTTATCTTTGTTCCAATTAGTTTATTCTGCGTAATATGCGTCTGGACAAAGATGATATGCAAGCACGTAGCACATTGAAGAATTTTGGCAGTTTTCTTGGTCTAATCACCTTGGCACGTAATAAACCAGTTCTACACGATGATTTAAATATTAAAGATCTTATATATGAAGCTTATTACAAAGGTCCCATTCCTACTCAATACGTAGTTCCATTTGTTGCTCGAGTTGTTCGAGGTGCAACTGAAAGTTTGGTATTTCGTCCACCCAATCCATGGACTATGGCAATATTAAAAGTTTTACGTGAATTGTATGATATGGAGAATGTAAAGGATTGGTTACGTTTTGAAGTAAGAAATAGTCCTATTGTTTATTTCAAATAAGAAGTCTATGATCGTTATGATCTTTTTCACTTTGACTTATTTCACAAAAGCTTTTAATGTATTTAAAAAGTGTAAAAGAAACTCTTCAATAAACTAATTTGTAAATAAATTAGGGTATATTACTGTGGGAAAGATCAATTTATTGTTTAATACATAATCATAAAGCGGTCTAGTAAAATGTGAAAATCATACATCTTTGGATTGTCCCTTACAAGCTTCATTGTTCATTTATTCCTGTTGTTATGTTGATTGCTTTTAGTTTCGTTCTCTCTTTTCTTCGTTTTAATCATCTAAACCTGCTCACAGATATTTCACTTCCAACTAGTGTTATATACTACTTATATCTATAAACATGAGTAACAGTCACCTCAGTGTTAGTGTATATTTACAAGAATTTATTTGCTCTTATTCTTGCTATCTACACAGCATAGTTGTAATCAGCTTATAGAATATTATGTCTCCGTAGATGTACGTGAGTGAAATTTTTTATTTCACTTTAGAACTAGTAAAATTTGTATCATAATTTCCTCGTTCATATCGTGGGATAATGTAACCTAAACAACTTCAGAAAACCATTAAACATTAAGTATCTGTCTCATTTTAATATAGAAGTCCTTAACAATGCCCATCCATTATCCCGCCAATAGGGATCAATATTTTAGTGGTTGTTTCACGCAGATCATTTCGTGATGTTAACTAACTATGAAGAAGAATACATCTTCACAAACCATTATAATATCATAACGTTATTATTTTTTTCTAGATTGAAATCCTTTATCGTGCATTTGACCTAAATCTGAACGATATACCATCTGCAAATTTTCTTCGAGACCTAACACACTCATCTAATTTAGATATTGAACTGTGTTTCATTGCAACTACTACAAGCACTATCACTACTGCTACTACTACTACCACTACTACCATTGGATCTATGAATACACCTGGCCAAATTATAGTATCAAATATGACTAGTAAACCTGCAATAACTAGTATAGATTCATCATTTTATCCCGGTTCTTCGTTTACTACTCCTGACTTCTCGGTTACAACAACAGTGGCAATGGCGGCAACAACGACAGTGACTACGTTTTCTGTTGGAGCTACAACAACCAGCTCGAATTTACCATCATCTGAACAACAGAAACAGCTGTCCAACATGCTTGCTTTGTTCCATAAACACCAACAACAGATTTCTCCTACGGATTCCATATCAACACAACAATCAGTATATTCAGTATGTTGATAACTTTACATTTTATAGCTTGATATTAATTCTCAACTCAATTGTCTACTCTTACTTTTGTTTACTTGAGTGTATCTGTGTGTTTGATTGATGTTGATCGTAATTCATATGTGATTTAGTTATTTTCGTCTGATTGTTATTTGTATGTGCGACAGTAGTGCGGTATTCCAGCTATTTGAGGTTGGTGAAACCACACTCAGTAAAGCCCATAGTCATATCTGGATTAGAAGTTCGCTTTTTCAGGCTCACGAACGCACCACGTGGGTGTGATTTCGTGGGGAAATAGTTGGAACCGCCGCGTCGCGGCCCGCGGTTGTCACACCAGATGCAAGTATAGTCTACATGTACGCCGGTAAGGTAACACAAGTTTTCACTCGTCCTTTCCATTGTTTGCATATAAGTATAATCACTCACTTGGGAAGGTAGATGATCATTACTCCCTTCGAAAGTATTTGCCACAACTTTCTGTCTCCTACGCATTACATGTGTACTTGTGGTACACATGCTCCTCATGAGATACACATGGGCATAAGCACTCAGGGAGGGTTGATGGTCACCTTTCCTTAGTATTTGCTACCATATTTTTTATTATATCTTCGACCTAAAAGATTAGACCGCTAACGTTTCTTGTGCGTACCCTTCGAAAATGCCTACATTCATAAAGTACACACACAGAGGTTTATGCAATTCATTTACATAAGCATACACATCGGGCAGTCCGTCACGGTTTCCATGGTCTCAAAGATTAAACTCCGAAAAATCCAAGTACAGCAGAGAAGTGGTGAACTAGTGCAATCTCCGCACATCGCTAAAATTAGCTAGCATTGTTGCTTTCACTACCCAGAAACCACACGTGGAGGCTTTGAGTCTGATTTTACCTCACATTTCTACTTTTTATATTTCATTTTCAAGTTATCACTTTTTTTGCTTAAGAAATTTTCAATGTTTACTGGAAAGGCTTCTAGAGATTAATTTTCTTCCATACTTACCATCGATTAGTATTATTAGTTAAAGTATCGTTATTAAAACTGAAGAGTATGAAATAAGTGATTGTTTCTTCTAATAAGAAATAGCAGCGGATAGATTGAGATTATAGTGTTTTTTTAAAACTTTAGCAAGTTATTTCATCGATTGTGCTTCTTTTTCTTAAGTGCAAGTATCAATAATAAGATGTGATCTATTTACTCTTTCGATAAACTAGTACCAACTTGTTTTTTTTCCTATTGTTTTAGACCCCTGGTTTAGATATAACTAATTTAATTCAAAACTCTTCTACTAGTTCTAACCAAACTCGTCAAACAGCCGCTGCAATTGCTGCCGCTGTAGCTGCTATCAAAAAACAGCAACAGTTTGGTCCGCCTCTTTCGGGAACTGGTCCTTCTTCTTCTCCATCTTCTACTTCTTCTGCATTAGCATTACAACAACATCAACAACAGTTGAATACTGCAATGGCGGCTTTTCAACCACTACCCCAATCTCACCAACAACAGTCACATCAACAACAGACCCTTCAAAATATTTTACCCATTCATAATCAACCAAATGTTACACAATCGACTAATATTACCAGTGGTGGACTAAGTAAGTTCATTTATTATCATATCGAATATGATGAATTATGAATAATTTTATTTATGAAAACAAGTGTTTATGCCTTCAAACTCATTGAAGTAAAAGTTAAGTGTTTTTCCTTTAATTTACAATGTTAGTTTTTATAATAAGATAACTATTTCATTATTAGAAATAAGCAAGAAAAAGAACGAAAGTATATAAACTAACAAGTGGACTGAGCCATGTTGGTAAGTGTAGACTACCTAGTTGGGATCCGTGATATGATAGCAACCGATGATTAGAGACCTTGAATGATGAAATGGTTGAAAATCGTTTGCAATGGCGCAGGCGCAGGTCCACACTTTGTGTTCTCTCAAATTCCAATCTTCTGGATTTCTCATGTCCTTTTATTCTGTTTCTAAATTTATTTCACTGGATTATACTCCTTGAATAACATCTTCAAACCGTAGTGTTTCCGATTACTGCTTATAATCTTATTACCTCTACCACTATGGGATTTGAATTGACAACTGCATCTCTGTGCTAATGTGGTATGTCAACTTGAACTGATGTACGTACGTACGAAGTTCTATGTTGTTACTGACTGACTGAAACTAAGGATGGGCTTTTTTTAATAATATCTTTATTTATATGAACTGGATCAGTGGATCATTCTCCATTGGCATAAGCGCGCATCTGTAATAAACTCCTACTAGTATACATAGTCAAAAAGTGTTTTATTCATACACATTCACTTATGATTCATTTATGAATTGTGATAATTGAATTAATAGTGTTTTTCTGTACATTGACTTTCCTTCTATGATGTTGTTGCTTAAGTTTAAAGAAATTCAATCTGTATCAGTTAGTTCCTTAATTTTCTAAAGCTATACTATTTTTTTCTTCACTAAAATTTATTAGTTTTTTTAAAACACTAAACTTCCGTCTACCATCTTCATTCTCATTCATTGAACATTATCAGAAAACTGAAAAATTTCTATCTTTCTTTGTGTTATATGGAGTAATGGCTCAATGGTTAAGACGTTCAGCTTTCAGTCATTAAGTCACATGTTTGAACCCAGCCTCATTTACTTCAGTTTAACCAACTGGATAGTATTACCAATCCTCCCCACCGAGGTTGTTGTTCAAAAACCAAGCTATTGAATATTTGTATCCGGTAAATGAATTAAGTTGCAAGCAAGATTGTTACCTTGGTGTTTATGATCATTTTGAAAATGTTGAATTGTTTGGTTATTTTTTATTCCACGGAATGTAGATGGAGATTTAACTGGTGGTAATACGTTATTCACTGGACATTTACTACGCTACGAAGATGTGAACATTCGAAGTATTCGTGCTTGTTTAAATCTTGATGAATTATTAACAAATGCCGCTATCAATAGTCGAAATGGTGGTACTAATTCAAATGGAATTACTGCTGCATTTGCTTTACTTCAAGCTAATCCTCGACTACGCGGATTAATTGAACCTGCTGTTCTACGCGCCATCAATGAATTGACCACTCCAGTATTCGAACGTTGTGCACGTATCACAGTTACAACTGTTGTCGCTATCGTCCGCAAAGATTTTGCATTAGATCCAGATCCTTCACGTATGTTGTATGCAGCTTGTCAAATGATTCGACATCTTGCCGCTGGAATGTCATTAATTACTGCAAGAGAAGCTTTAGGCATGTCACTTGTGACAAGTTTAAAAAATATCATTCTTACTGAAGTCCAATCTGCTACCGGGCAGGAAAAAGAAGCTGTACAACAATTGGCTTATCTAGTTGTTGGCAAAAGTATGCATGTTTGTTTAGCGTATATGCAAAAGTCAGTAGCTGAAAAAGCTGTGAAAGATGTCGAGAAAAAATTAGAGGCGGATATAAAACTTCGTACTGAACTTGGTCCTATACGTTTCATGGAACAGGCTGTAAACCAATTAGCATCACAACAATCTAATATGCCTGAATCACTACGCCTTACAGTACGTTGTTGTTGATTATATCACTGCTTTTGTATTACATAAGTTTTACTAATTCTATTTCATTTGCAATCAAACTAATTTAATCTATATATTTTCAAATTTTCATTAACCTAATTGTACAACATTGAAATCACTTATTCTCTAGGCTGGTGGTCCAACTGCCACAGAAATGTCAGTCTATGAAGAATTCGGCCGTGTTATTCCTGGCTTTGCTCCGAGCTCATCTGGAGCCATGGTGAATATGCCTTCATCATCCATTTTACTTCCTGTATCTTTGAACCCATTAACTGCAGTTCAAAACATTTCTTCATCTACTGTAAATTCTGCAGTATCAATGGCTGCATATCTTCAACTATCTGCATCACAGAAACAACAACTTTCTTCTACTGGTATCATTCAGCGACAAACTACTCCTGCAATATGCACTGCTAGCGGGTCATTTATGAAACCACAAGGCTATCCAACTGCAGCTAGCCAACCATCAACTAACTTTCAGGTGAGTTTGAAATGCCATGTATTTCTCATCGCATCTGAGTAATATGAAATCATTTGCTTTTTGTATTATGTGGAGAAGATAAGAAATCATTCAAGCGTTTTTGAACAACGTAGAATGTGGCATAAATCTACCTGATTCTTATTTTCTATACGTATTCGGCCTTTAGGAACCGCCTCAATCAGTGGTTTCATTATACTTGATCAATATAATAATACTAGCAGCGTATGTGTATCTGTAGTTTACCTTCACCAGCCTGTTATACATCCATAAGTCAGTACAAAGTAAATTACTACAACTGAGCTTCTTTGAGAGTGAAGATTATTTGTTGGTTCCCACTAAAGTTGTTATTAATTCATGAAGAGATAAAAATCGGTTGGAGGTTAGTAAAACTATTCTTCATTATCCTTTCGCATTATCTCCGTTTACTATAATAGATCATGCCCAGAAACCACACCAGCTTCATCAACCACATCTTTACGATTACGTAATAGTCTAGCGTGATGTTTTCCATCTCTGGGCTTTGTTACTCTACTAGTATCTACTATGATTGCTGAATTTCAGTCAGTCAGTAACTCGGTATAGATTATTGATACACTTCATTACATCGTGACTGAAATGTACGAAGACGATTTAATGTACTGCTCTATATTAAAGTAAGTAGGGAATGAGTTTTCGACTCTACCACTGTGTATCCACTTAACCCTGCGGAACCTCTTTATATCCGTGCACATATTTGTTATATGATGAAAATAAATACGTTTTGCTTTCAGACACTTAATAATTCATCTATCTCAATAGTTATCGTAAGATTGATTATTCTCTTTTCATGTTTGTAATACTTAAAAGTGCATCCTGCTACTATCTACATTTATTTTCCGCTATTTGTCATTTCATTTTATAAAGGCTCCACTATCTGGTTTGTTTGACAAGATAAGTGGACAGATTGAACGTCATTTAATAGCTATTTCTGGTCGATTACGTCCTGCCAATGATCCAATGTGTCAATCGCTACGTTGCTTAATTGATGCTGTTCACCTAGCTAAAACAAGTCGTGACACAAATGTTGCTAACAATATTATCACAATTATGGTACGTAGTTTCCTGGAGCATTATCGACCTAGTTTTTGGCGTGACCAACCACGTGGTTTAGAAACAATGGAGCACTTAAAAGAGGCTCACATGCTTACTCTTCGACATATGCTATCTTTAGAACAAACTCCGTTTGGATATGCATGGGTTACTCGACAGGTATGTCTTCGACAAACTAACTACTCTGTGATCGAATTGTTTTATGTTATATTAGTCCTTACTTTCATCTTTATTTCATTAATCTTTATCGCTTTTATGTATGTGGTTCTCTCACAGGTCACACACACATGGATTCATTTAGACGGAGGAAATGTCTCCGGTTCTGGCGGTGTCAACCAAGGTGTCACGTCATTATCAAACACTAGCGGAAATACTTCTGATGATTTGCAAAATCAAGAATTAGACTTGAATATCGCTCCTACTGAAAATAAGACTTCATCACTGGGTGACATGGTGGACACCACTGCCACTAATAATTGGACAGTGGGAGGAGGTAGTTGGAAGCAAGTATGTTAAATTTTTTTATTCAAATTTCGAGTTCGAGAGCATATTCACACAATACTTCTGGCTGTAAATTATTCTCAGACTAATCTATAATTCTATTCCCTTCACAGTTAAAAAAATCTATTAAAAATAAATATTCAACTGATTAAGTGTCAATTAATGTATCGTTCCGAAATGTCCGAACTCTCAAACACGTGCTTACAGGTTAAATCGCACCGTTTGTGCGATTCTGAATCATGTCGCCCAAAATCTCCAACCACTGATCGCGTTTATCCTGCTGGCCTCAGCCTCCGGTAGTTCTCATCTAATAACATACCTCGCACCAATACTCAATAGCTTCATAGACTGACGCCAGGTCTTAGTCTTACCATTTGTAACCTTACAACCTACTCCTATATCAGTAAACATCGCCTGTCAAGGTTTGCAGTTGTTAGGTATGCGTAACAGTTGTTTCAACCCCATCGATCAGTGAAGATTCACAACCTTATAAACCTATATCACCTCAATCAATTACTTCATTACCTAACATTAATTTAGAAGTTGACGTAGAGCAGAGAAATGCATTGCAAATATCTTAGCATTATTGCTCAACTAGATCAAAAGACTGCATGTCAGTTACTACACCAAACAGAACTATATCTTCTGTTTATTGGTAGTCGGTAAGGATACTGTCTGGTAGGAGATCAACCTCCGAAAAATTAAGTGAAGTTAATATTTCTCGGAGGACATTTATAACGGAACTAACGAAAGAGGGATAGTGGGGAACCCTGACGATTACCGGTTGATGTTAACAATTCTGATGGCAGTTTGTCATAAACTATAAGCCGACCAATAATAACTGAAATAGCAATGCAATCATACCCATTATTCATCCCTACAGACTTTAGCTTATTAAAGTTCTATACTTCAACCATGTGAGTCGATTTCTTATCAAATTAAAAAAGAATTCTATGATATTAATTTATGTACTGTCGTTACTTTTAGTATAATCTCTCTTTTTTTTAAATTTTCTAGCTTACTGAAAATAATAACAGTCAAATCGCTGCTGCTCATGATAATCGTCTTGTTTCAGTCAAATGGAATTGGGAAGCGTTCGCTGAATTTCTACGAGTTCATGTTATTTATTTCTCCCAAGTAATTTTTTTCTCTTTTGTTCGTTTAATTTTGATTTATTTATTTGTTATTAATTGATTGTTTCACGTATTGCTTGTTGAGAACCATATACTTTCATGTATCGTATACTCACTAGTAACTAGTTTCGAGAAGAGATTCCTGGATTTTTAATGATAGATTGTGACCAACAGAGCTAATCTGTGTCAGGTATGAAGGATGATCGCACAATATCGTGGATTGAATAAAATTAGACATTAACTTTATTGGCTCGTTGTTTTAAAAGTTAAGCGTTCGCGCGCGAGACTAAATGTTTTGACTTCGGGATCATGGATGTCCATTGTTGAGAGTCCCATACTAGGGCGGAACGACTCCCCAATACTTTCGGTTTTTCGGTTGATTGTATTAATAAAGCAATCACTATTGTTTTTTTAAAAGCTCCTATCATTTCCATTTTCCTTGTTTTTTTTTCTTTTCTGAAAGATCGATACATATTTAGCTCAAGAAGTTGCCAAAGGTCATCCTGGCGCAATTACTTTTGTCATTGATTTATTAGATCATTTTGTACTGCCTTGCCCTAATGGCACGTCATTAGGAGCAGCAGCAGCTGCTGCTGCTAGTTATGCTCGTGCCAATTCATCATCGACTATTCCTTGCACTGCCGTGGGTTCCAGTGTTAGTGGTGCTAATTCTGGCTCCGCATCTGTCAATGTTAGTGTTTCTGGAGTTAATGTAAACTATCCAATTGGTGGTGTTGGCGGTCCTACTTCAGTATCATTTTCAACAAAACGCGAATTTACTGTATTGAATGAATATGATTTATGGTCTACTTTAGAAGCTTTAAGAAATCGTGTAGCGTTTCTTAATAACACTAACCTATCGACACCATCATTAACCGATCCATTAGGTTTACGGTTACGTTTGGCTTGTGCACGTGTCCGAGGTTTGTTGGATTTGGGACTTATGGAACAATCCCCATTATTCAACAATCCATCTTGTACTATTGGAGCATTGTATGCTGGATGTAGTCAAGCTCATGAATTTGACGATCCGCCTAATCTACAGGTGAGTAGTTGTGTAGAAATAAGATTCTATTTTTTCATATGATAAAATAATGTACCTTGTGGTTTCATGGATTTTTACCTTTAATGAATATGACGTAGGATGAGTTCTGTTTATATCTTTGTGGTATACTTCTCCTAATCTTGGAAGTGAGAAATCGCCAATCCTAATCTTTGTTGTAATTTTAACGAATAAATTATTTATTTCTATGATCTTTGCAGGAAAAAGTTGAATTGATTATGCGTAATTGGGTTGAAATTTATCAAAGTCCTAAACAACGTGATCCTGCTACAATAGATGCACTTCTTAGTCAACTGACACAAATCGGTGTCTTGCCAAATATTAATAATTCAACTCGTTTCTTACGCTTAGCCACAATTTTCGTGATTGAACGAGCTTTGAAACAATTGAAGTTGGAAGAACAACAACAACAACAACCTCAAGTTCCTAATGGAGGAGGAGGGGGATCAAATTTTAGTTCGAATCCGGCGATTAATCGTGTTGCCGCTTACGTTGAACTAGATGCTTATGCTCGTCTAGTTAGTATATTAATTAATCAATTAGGTGAAACACCTCAAAGTGAATACTCTAATGCTAAGGTAAGCTCTCATAACTTCAGTTATCCATATTTTATGCTAGTAATTCTTCCTGTCAAACTAGTTAATTTACGTTATATCTGTAGTAACCACAATCAAGTCAACAATATTTTTCGTGCATTGGACAAGTCATCCTGTTGATCTAACACTAATATATCTGTTAGATTAAGGCAATACTTATCGAAGATGTTGGACTTAATTCAAAAGCAGTGTCAGTAGTATTACGGTTTCATCATTAGTAAATAATACTTTTCAATTGTATCCCAACACACGCACATGAAGAGAGAGAGAGAGAGAGAAAAGAAGCATTGCATACTTTTGTACATTCGAAGAAAGTATAGTATTATTTATGTATATGAAGTAGGAGTTTAGTGATATGATGAATGAATTTTAGGTTGATAAAACGGAAAGAATACTGATTGATGCGATATACAATGATACTAATCGTGATTGAATAATGGTACCTGCTCACAAGATCGAATTATTGACTTTTGCTTTTGAATGTGCAAAAGAGACAAGATCACTCAGTCAGCTACGACGTAGGATCAGGCACATATATGCATAAGTCCAAGTTGCCATACCTCATTGGGTAGCACAACAAGATGAACACCAAATTCATAGAAGTAATTACTTCAATGGTAGTACTATAAAAATGAAAGATTGTGTATAAGGATATATTACAGGAAGAAAGAATTAGCTCGTAAAAAGAAAGATCACTAGTCCAGAAGAAGTAGGTTTTCCATCCTATGTAGTTATTTATTTATTTATTTGAACACATAAATATTGGTACAAGAGAGCGCCAATATATATGCGCCACACAAAACAATGGGAATTCCTATGTAGTACCATAATGTTCATCTATCCGTCTATCAGAAACGTTAATATTACTATCATTACTATCTTAACTGTTAGCTCTCTGTATTTTTATCACTAAAGAGTTTTTGTCCATTTTATTGGTGCAGGTTACATTATTAAACAAGGTCCTCGGACTTATCGCTGGTACACTACTTCAAGAGCATGAAGTACGACGTGATTTATTCCATCCTATGCCTTTTGAACGTCTCCTAGTTATCCTATTTGTCGAATTACAGTCTTCATTATCACTACCTTCAGCAACACAGTTTACTGTAGGTGCATCTCCAAGATCAGATGGCAATGTGGATGAAGGATGTGTTGAGAATGTGAATTCAGATGTTCATCAGAATACTGACACGGATAAAGCTTGTGCAGGTAAACATGCCGACAGTGTTGGTGGTGGTGAGCCTCGAATACCCATCGCGTCAATAAAATCATTGGGTCCACTGACTTTTCAACAACAACTTCCTCTTATCTTTTGTCATCTATTACATTGTTTAAGACCGGAAAAAGCTACTGCATTTGTATTTTCTTGGCTGGAAATGTTAACTCATCGTTGGTTTGTTGGATGCATCCTATCAGCTCCTGGTCCTCCAAAACTTCAAGCGGCATATCAAGCGATGTATGCACAATTGTTGGCAGATTTATTGAAATTTCTAGGCTATTTCCTTCAAAATGCTCTTATGCCAAAACCAATCCAGTGTTTATACAAAGCTACATTACGGCTGTTGTTGGTGTTAATTCATGATTTCCCTGAATTTGTTTCTGATTACTATGCATTGTTTTGTGATGTTGTCCCTTCTAATTCTATTCAAATGCGTAACATAATTCTATCTGCACTACCCAAACGAGGCATACCTTCGGCGGACCCATTACAAGTAAGAAAAAATTCAGTTATACAAACCTGTATAATTCTTTTTCTGGTTTTAGTGTTTTGGTAATTCAATCTCCATGTATATACCATATGTAATTTTCTGTCTGTTATTTCATGTTTAATAGGCTCCTCCAGTTGACCAATTAGCTTCTCTTGAAGATCCTACTGGTTATTGTATGGAAGCTGGTTCACGACTTCCAGAGCCGATGAGATGTGAGCTCGATGCATATCTAACCACTCGAGCACCTGTTAAACTACTCAGTGAATTAGTTACAATGTTAAGACGTGCTGATGATATCATCCCGCCTATACCACCACTTCAGTTTGCTTATCATCCTCAACAACAGGCTAGACATCAACAAGCCCTGGCAGCATACGCAGTTGCTTTAGCTGCTAATGATGTTTGTCCAGGTTCTTCAGTAAAGAATGAAGACAAGCCTACTGACGATCATTTTACACCTAGTTCCACTTCCACACAGGCTGTAAACAAAATATCTGGGAAAACTGGGACAACAGAATCTTGGGAGAGTAGTGGCATCATATCGTCGTCCTCGGCAGCAGTTTCTGACAGTAACAACGAGACATCCTCATCGTCTGCAAGCAATACTACTACTTCACGAACAACACTGACTATACCCAACTCTGTCGTCAGTGGCGATTCTGGTGCTGCATTGGCTGCTTTATTATGGGGTGTACGCGCTACTCAACAATTAGCTACATTTGGTCTAGCCGATAGTATGCATTACAATATTGAATTAATGACAAATTTAACATTATACGTTTGTATTACTGCTATTCGTAATTTACGCGAAAAAGGTATGCCATTGAATATGAGCACTATTGCTCATACTCCACAAATGGATATTATACAAAGTCTAGTTTTAAATCTTGACAATGAAGGTATGTGGGTTATTATGTATTGAGGTTTATAATTAATTACTTGATTAATCTCTGTTATTTTTATTGTTATTGAATGTTTGTTTTCAAATGGTTTATTTAGTTTAAAGTCAGTTGTAGTTGTGATTAATCATAGAAGTTATATTGTTTGTCCATTCATTGGTTTTGAGTCATAGACATATCATGAATTTCCAGAACCTTAATATCTCATATATATTTGAACTATATCAATGGGTTCTTTACTGATTGAAATGATTTAGTGACATATATTATATTATGCCCAACTACCATTTACCTCAATATACATTGCCAGCTCTAGTAGGGATAAGTCGAAGGAAATTAAACCAAAAAAGAAGCATAGCATCGGTTCGTTAACTTAATAACTATTAGTTTAAGATATATTGATACGTATAGACTATCTGATCGAGATGTCTCCATGTTAACTACGATCAGTCGTTGAAGAAACATTCCGTAATATAGCTTAAAACTGGTCACAAGTGTAGAGATGCATTCACTCCTTGATTTTTTAGTGTTGCTTCATACTTTCTTCTAAGAAAAAATAAGAATAAATTTGTGGATAACCGAATCAGTTGAAAAATGAGATATTCTGACGTTCCGTGACTCTCGGTATAAGTCACTTCTTCAGAGAATAAATGAATATCAGAAGGGGTTTGTGGAGATTTTTAGAAATTTATTTTCACAGATTGAAATCATGAGTCAGTTGAAGCTAGATCACTGCTGAGGAGTCCTATACTAGGACGAAACGGCCGTCCAGTGCTTCCAGGTTTTCAATGGCGGTCTAGCTTCAACTGACTCATGATTTCAATCTGTGAAAATAAATGAATAACCGAATCAAAATGTATCCAATGTTAAATAGTACAAAGGAACAAAGCAAGAATATGAAGTGCGATCAATTAAAAAAAAGAACAAACAGGTCTGAACAAATCATTTCGGTCAAGGTGATTCATAAGAGACATGTATGTAAAGTTGTGTGTGTGTGTGTGTGTGTGTAGGGTCAGGAATGAAAATATATCACATTTATGGTGAGAAAGGATAGAAAATCTAATTTTTCTGCTTATTGGGATATTGACTCGTGATCTCAACTCTTGAAACTACTATAATTATCCACAAAACCCATCTGATATTAATCAATATATGCTCACTAGTGACTGGCTTCAACAGGTATTTCCTGGAGTTCAAGTGAGAAGCAGTGATCAGTGGAGTTCAATCAGGTATGTCATGACATAGTAACTGACTGAAGACAATGGTGGATGTGTTGCTCAATTTCATGGATTAGTTGAAGTTAGACATTAACACTATTGGATGCCGGCTCAGTGGTCTAGTCGTTAAGTGCTCGCACACGATACCGATAGGTCCTTGATTCGAATCTCGCGAGTCTGTATCATGGATGAGCACTACTGAGGAGTCCTACAATAGGACGAGTTGGTCATCAAGTACTTCGAGGTTTTCCATGATGGTCTAGCTTCAATTGACTCATGATCCCAACCATTACTACAACTACTACTACTTGGTTTCGAACTCTTACCATTCATTTTATTGATTTCAACTTTTGCCAGGAATTGTACCATGAATATGGTTGATTGATTAACTCAAATATTAAATGAAAATGTTCTATTCTCTAAGTTTCATGGTTTAAATATCATATTGTTTTTTTTTGCTTTTTACTTTAAACATGACAATGAGTATCAACTTTATCAAATAGAAGTCTGTTTTTGAATTAGTCCATTTTTATAATCTCTCTCGTTTGATTTGATTATCTTCAGTATCTAGTCGATCAAATTAAACACTGATACTGTTCGAAATATAAAATGAATATTTCATTCATCTTGAAAGAGCATTTCTTTCATTATGAAAAATACTCTTGATAGTCTTGGAATTCAACTACATGTTTCCGATTACTGTTTGTACTTTTACTACCTCTACCACTACGGAATTTGAGTCGACAACTGGATCTCTATGCTAATGTGGTATGACAACTCGAACTGATGTACGTACGAAGTTCTACGTTGTTACTGACTGAATGACTATCATCGATTATTCTACTCAATCAAATTCTCTTCCAAATCTGTTTTACTTAAGTATTAAATAAAAATTAGATTTATATTATCTAAGTTAATTTGATACCTAAAATTACATTGAATTGGTTTTCCTTCTTTTCATTTTATTAATAGGTCGTTATCTTTTGCTTAACTGTATGGCAAATCAACTACGTTATCCTAATTCGCATACATACTATTTCAGTTATACAATATTATATTTATTCTCTGAACAATCTAAAGAACAAGTAAAAGAGCAAATTAGTCGTGTTCTTATGGAAAGATTAATTGTAAATCGTCCACATCCATGGGGTTTATTAATGACTAGTGCAGAACTATTACGTAACCCAGCATATCGATTTTGGGAACATGAATTTGCTCGATGTAATCCAGAAATTGAAGCGTAAGTTTTCAAAAGTCCTGGAATTTTCTGTGTTTTCTTTTTCTTTTTAAGGTTCGGTAAAATAATAGAATAAAATATCTAGGTCATCTATCGTACCATGTCAAGTCACCAAATGAAACTATATTTTTTTGCTATCTGACATAAAATTTTGTTAGAAACCAGCTAAGAATATGTAAATGAAAGAATCGGACTAGTCTATAAAGTCAGATTGGATATTTTAGTCATTCAAAGAGAGATGAGTTGATATTCTGATGAAAGTTCTCAAGATAACTGGGGGGAATCAATTTGATTGCTACAAGAATCGTCTGTCTGATAAACAGTTCTCGATAACATTTCATACAAATAGAACATTGAATATTTATGAACATTCGTTGAAATTGAGATGGTTATTAAACGTCTTGTATTACGTCTAACAACTTATAATGAAACTTGAATGATTTCAATGTTTCTCTTAACTATCTGATGCAACCTTTCTAGTTAAATATTCTAACCGAGGAAAAACAAAATGAAGTTTAATGACAAAATCATATTATGCATCTGTCTAAGCAGAATCATTTTGTGTATAATAAGGTCATGAAACAATTGAAACTTGAATCTCTTGGAAATATATAGATTTTCGTTGTTGTTGTTGTTGTTGTTGTTTTGTATTCTGGAACGTCCTTACCACAGGTTCGTTAACTACCTCATTATATATAGATGGAACTCGCTATAACAGTAGTAGTCCTATAATCCGGTGTAGTTGTAGGACCTAAAACCGTCTCAGTCGTCAAGTATTTCATAATACTTTACTAAAGAAAGTAATCAAACATGTATAAGAGCTTGATGACTTCTTATTGATGATTCATCGTTGATTACCGAATTACACTCATCCAAAAATATAAATTAAGTTTCTTTTCGGATTTATAATTAATTTGATAAAAATAAAAGTTTTTTATCCCTTTCAAAGTCCTCATTTAGAAAATCTTCTAATAGTTAGAAAGATGGAGACTTGTATATAAGAATTACGTTGTATTATAGATCCGTACGCCGCTACAACCACTGTTTATTTTTATTACCCAATGAGCTACTGATAAAGAGGTGTACTTTGAGAGTTGATATTGTGTATTCGACAATTAATACAATGATAATGATCTAACATTGATCGGTTCATGATCTAAATTATAGCATTGAACTTCATTGATATACACATATATACATAGCTAAGAATACTATATTATACTATACTATACTATACTATACTATACTATACTATACTATACTATACTATACTATACTATACTATACTATACTATACTATACTATACTATACTATACTATACTATACTATACTATACTATATACTATACTATATCGTTTCCTTTCACATTGTTATTCTCTGATTGCATGATAAATATAGTTTTATATGATGTATCATGAAAGTTTAAATGGTGATTATAACAACACAATAGTATAAATATCTTCATTGAGTAGCATCTAAGTGAATGCTACCTGTTTGTTTTTAATCAATTTACATGAATTTAATAGATTACAATTCATCAATGAAATATCTTTCTGTCATTTGTCTCTTTTCTCTCTCTCTCTCTCTCTCTATTCCGAACAGAATTGTAACAATTGTCGCTCGTAGTTGTATACCAAATTTTCAAATTCCCAATGTAAATTCTTCTGATACTTGTACAACTTCTAGTGTTGTTTCATCGGGTCTACGTTATGCTTTATTATCGTCTGGTACCGCTCAAGGTTCAGTGTAATCAATTAGGATGACGACACTATGTATGTGTATTTGTGTGAATAAATTATTATCTTATCTGTATTCTTTTTCTTTCCCCCCCCCCTCCTATTATTCTATATTCACAATTGTAACTGTTTGTCCAAAAAAAATGTTGAAATCAATAACATGTGTATCTAATCAGTCAATTATCATTGTTGAAATTACTCTTCAATCTTATCATTTCACATTCATATCATTGACCGAATTCCATTACTATTAACAAACGTTTGCCTTCTTCTTTTGTTTTTGTACTTTTTCGTTGGTTCGTGTGTGTGTGTGTTTGTGATAACATTGTGTTTATATTGTTTTCTTTCTATTTCGGATTAAAGTACCCTCACAATGAACCTACTTGGTTCCTTTATCCTCTTTGTAAAATTTAATTATTGACCTCATATACATAAATATATATAATCTTTTTTTTTCTAGAAAAAGTGACAGTTGTTATTTGATTTACAACAAACAATTGGATGGGATCTTGTTGTGTTTTATATGTGTAAGACCAACGATATTGTCTTTTTAGAAACTTACTTACGCTTGTTACTCCCAGTGGAGCATAGATCACCGACCAGCATTCTCCAACCCCACTCTGTCATGAGCCTTCCTTTCTAAGCTTTGTCTAATTATTGTTCATTCTTCTCATGTCTGTGTCTATTTCTTACTGTAATATGTTCTTTGGTCTTCCTCTTCTCTCTTGAGCTTGAAGATTCCAAGTGAGATTTACCGTTTGTTAGAGAAGGAGTTGGGTGCTAGCGATAACACATGAACTGAAATAGATAAAGTGAATAGTGTTGTAAAGTGGACTGTTTTGTAACGACTAATTCACTACTCCCCCCCTTTATCATATCCTTTTCTTCATCTTTGTGTTTTTGTCGACAATAAGTTTTTGTTTATATTTTTCTAATTAAATGGCGTTTATCCTCACTATCTAGTCAATTTTACTGGATTCCCTGTTCAATATATTTTAAATACAGTCAAATTAATTATAATTTGGGGATATGAGAGCCCAACACTATTTCACGGGGAAGGATATTAGCTCCGGATTTTCAAAAAAAAGTGAGGTGCTGGGATATTCAGTAAACTATTCCAAGAATTATCCTGTTAAGTCTAATGCTAATCCATTGGGGTTTCCCTGCGTGGGTTCGAATCCCATCCCCGTCGCCAATTGTTATAACTTGTAACCGCCGATTAGAGAGCAGTGACTTATAGATCGGATCAAAGACACGTAAACACGTGCAAGCAGCCTAGAGTTCTGATTGTCCCTGCCTTCCTCCTAACCCAGCCATATAAGTCCAGAACACAAGTCTCAGCCTCTGCGATATGAATCATTTATTTCAAACACACTTGGTTTATATATTAACCAGACAGACCACATCATGCCATAAAATATGAAACAACATTTGTACAAGAATTAAGCAAATGTGGCTGTGAATGTGGGAGATAGTAATTAATAGACTGAGCATAACTCAAGAATGGTAAATCGTATAGTAATAGTCTATGGGTCAAATTAAAGCTTATAATAAGAGCAACATGAATATGAACAGTTTAGTTACATAACAATTATACAATAAAAATATACTCACAGTATTGGTCCATAAATGGATCCCAAAAGATTACCATTCATTATTCTTATCGGGATATAACAGTGATCATATTCATACAGGGATTACTTCACCAAGTTGGTTCGTTGAATTGTAGACCTATAAGAAAACAATGTTCACAATTTCAATTCTTATACATCTAATAGTCGGTACACATGAAAAACAGACAAGTTGAAAATAGCTTTGTGTTTTAAAGATTGTTCATATTAACCCCCTTTTCTTGTTGACCTATCTATACAAATAAATATGATGGAATGATTAATCACTTTCTTTGTTCTCATAATAATGAATATCTTGATCCCTGATTGCATAATTTGTCCAACTTGAATTTATTGATTTTCAACTTATTAATTGCGTAATCAGCTCTCATTATGATTATTTGTAACTTATCAGAAGGGGTTTGTGGAGATTTTTAGAAATTTTCACAGATTGAAATCATGAGTCAGTTGAAGCTAGACCACCATTGAAAACCTGGAAGCACTGGACCCTCTTTTATACTTATACAGCAGCTCGTCTTTGGTGGAAATTCGACTGTATCTAAACGTTCTCGAGTCACTGTCCGGTTGAAAACTGTACGTTAACACTGAATATGAGTACTGAAGCAGTTTTTCTGAAACCACGTGCACCATTCAAACTGGCTGCCTTCAACGTTCGCACACTTATGCAGGTTGAACAACAGATAGGGTTGGCTATGTCTTTGGGAAGTCTTAATATTGATGTTTGTTGTCTATCCGAGACCCGTATTCAAGACTCTGGTGAAGTAATGCAAGTTCGCTCTCCATCTGTCTCTTCAAAAAGTTTGTTTAACGTGCGTTTACCCGGGGACCCTGTTGGTCACATCACGATCAGCTACCGCTGGCGTGGTTGTGTACAAGACTGCCGTTCCTTCTGGAGTACCTATCTGGACTCTGACCATGCTTTGGTTTGCGCTAATCTTACCTTACTTTTCAGTGGACAACGAAGTGACCGCCACCAACGGATTGATGTTAGCAAGCTGGTTGCAACTTCTGTTGCAAGTAAGTATCGAACCGAGCTAGATTCTAGACTAGCTACCATTCCACCGAAAAGTATAGATGAGCATTGGTTGCAGTTGCATGACGCCATGAAAATGGCTGGTACAGTCAGTTGTGGGTTCGCGAAAGTCCCGCTTATAAGCACTGGGTTTCTTCAGGCTCCTTGCAACTCATTGAAGCCCGTCGGTCTACTCCGGGTGACCGTGAGTTCGACTATAAACGAATGATGTTACATAAGGAAATTGGGCAAAGCTTGCGTAAGGACCGAGAAGCCTGGTGGTCGAAGCGTGCTAATGAGCTGGAAGCAGCAGCTGCATCTGGTAACTACCGGAAGCTCTTCCAACTCATCCGAGCCACTGGCAGCAAGAAGTCTGGCGTGAGTGAAACAATCTGCGACAATGATGGGATGACAATCGCTAACACCCATCGACGTTTGGACGATGGACAGAATTTCTCGAAGGGCAGTTCAACTGGCCTGCTGCTCCGGCAACATCGGTCAGACTGTCCTGCCCTCCATGGCCGATGACGACTGATCCACCGAATGAGGCGGAAGTCCGCAAGGAACTCCAACTCTTGAAGCGTTACAAATCACCTGGCCCAGATGACTTACCTCCGGCTCTTTTTAAAGATGGTGGTGACTTTTTGACTAAGGAATTGACGACGTTGTTTACAAAGGTTTGGGAACTAGAGAGTGTACCAAGGTCATGGAATGAGTCGATAGTTGTCCCTATCTTTAAAAAGGGTTCACGTCGTTCCTGTAACAACTATCGGGGGATAAGTCTACTTCCGACTGCATCCAAGCTATTGGCTTCCGTCATACTTCGTAGGTTGTTCAAAACCCGAGAAAGATTGACTCGCGAGGAGCAGGCTGGTTTTCATTCTGGTGGAGAATATATTGATCATATCTTCACCCTCCGTCAAATGTTAGAACATCTCCATACTTATCAAAGGCCAACAATCGTAGTGTTTCTTGATATCAGGGCTGCCTTCGATTCGTTGGATAGGACTGTTCTCTGGGATTGTCTATTGAAGAAGGGTGTGCCTGAGAAGTTTATTAACATCCTAAAAGCCCTATATAAAAACACCTCAGACAGAGTGAGGGCATACAACCACCTCTCTCCATTGTTCCATTCGAGCAGTGGGGTTAGGCAGGGTTGCCCAATCTCACCATTCCTCTTCAACTTTGCCATCGATGACATTCTGGAAACAGCTCTGATGAATGTAAGTAATGGTGGTGTGGATCTGTTGCCTGGAGAAAGACTTCTCGACCTTGAGTATGCGGATGATATTGTCTTACTGTGAGATAATACCCAAGCCATGCAATCCGCACTTAATCAGTTGACAATCAATGTCCTTAGGTATGGTATGTGCTTTGCACCTTCGAAGTGCAAAGTACTTCTACAAGACTGGCAGGATTCCAATCCTGTACTCACCCTGGATGGTGAGCAGATAGAAGTAGTCGAGAAGTTCGTGTATCTAGGTAGCTGCATAAGTGCTGGTGGGGGTGTGAATGATGAGATCAATGCACATATAGTGAAAGCCAGAGCGGCTTATGCCAATCTGGGCCATCTTTGGCGCCTTCGTGATGTTAGTCTGGCTGTAAAAGTCCGGATTTACAACGCGTCGATGAGAGCAGTTTTGCTGTATGCTTGGGAAACCTGGCCTCTCCGAGTTGAGGACGTTAGACGATTCTCTGTGTTCGATCATCGTTGTCTCCGAAAGATTGCTGACATCCAGTGGCAACATCATGTCAGTAATGCAGAGGTTCGGCATCGTGTGTTTGGGCGCAGAGACGATAATCTAATTGGTTTCACCATCTTGAAACATCGACTTCAGTGGCTTGGACATGTTCTACGAATGTCGTCGCAGAGAATTCCACGTCGTGCATTATTTGACGACTCTGGGAGTGGTTGGAAGAAGCGGAGAGGTGGTCAGTGCATGAAATGGTGTCGTGGCATGAAAGAAAGCTGCAAAGGACTGGCTTGCGTTGGTCCTTCACGACTCCCTGGTTGGGGTCCGAGAGATGGTGCTACACAGTGGCTAGAGACGTTATCAGATATGGCTCAGAATAGAAGCCAGTAGCGATCCTGCTGTAACGTTCTTTTACTTTCTTCATAAAAATTGGTTGCCTTCCTTAACTGAAAGATTTCTTCTGGATGTGCCTTTCCGTTCCCTCGTTATTACTATTATTATTACTAATCTACCTTATACCGACCTCTTCGTTATTGTTCTCTATTTTTTTCACTCTCCTTACCTTTTTTTCTTTCTCTTCAAATTCTCATTGTTTTGTGTGGCGTATATATATTGACGCTCTCTTGTACCAATATTTATGTGTTCAAATAAATAAATAACTCCCCTAGGTGGAACCTCCATGTCCATCAACCTGGTTCGTCCTATCAATTTCACTAACAACCCCCCCCGCCATGAGAAGGCATCGAGTAGGACTTCCCTGGAAGTGGCTGAATGCAAGTGGCCATGTGAGAGCATTTCGAGAGCGAGTGTTGACTTTCCGCACTCTCAGCCGTACCAGGGCATTTGGGGGGGCGTATTCATGTTTAACTTCCTGATTATTCACATTGCATTTATTCATTCATGGTTATTACAGAAATCATTTCAGTTAATCTAACATTTTAATGAAATCATGAATTGATCAATGTTAGATCACGATTGATAATCTGGAAACACTAGATGATCATCTCATCCTGGTATGAGACTCCTTATCATTGTACATCCATGATCAGGGTCTATCATTTGTCAGTTCATTATTTCAATGAACTTGAAACATTTGCACAATCTCAAATTGAAAATCATTATATACTAACTAGTAACTATCTTCAAGATGTAACTCATGGAGTTCTAGTTATAAGTCGTGACCAATGGTGTTCAATCTGTGTCGAGAGTAAGATAAATATTCACTTCAGGCAATCGATAAACAGTTGTGCAAAATCATGAATTAGTTGAAGTTAAAAATTCACACTAATGAATGGTAGTTCAGTGATCTAGAGTTCAAGCGTTCACATGCGAGGTCGTTGATGGGCACTTCTGAGGAATCTTATACTAGGACAAAACGGACCTTCAGTACTTCTGGATTCTCAATCACGGTCTTACAGGTTTAGACATTACTCTACATTACTGCTTGTTGACAATACAGGTTATGAATATAATTTACAATAGTATTTCATTTAATTTCCAGTTCATGATTAAAATCAATTTACACCTTTGTACTAATCTATAATTATTGTACACTTATAAACGATTTAAGTTTACAAAGAAGATTAGAATTGAACTATTGTAATCATACATTAAATCAATG